TTGCCCCTCTTTTTCGGCAACACTTGAAGTGCTTCTACGCGCTCCGTTTCTAGGAGTACACACTCACCATCGCGCAACTGAGGCTCAAACTCCTCCCCAGGCAATCTCCAGGACCCGGATTTAATCAGGCCATCGTGAGCGAGATTCTCCAAGTCCTCCTATGAGACCGTCGAGCGGGTCCAATCCCCCTGGATCCAGCCAGGCAGCAAAGTGGAACGGGACGAAGAGCCCCGCATTGTCTTCTTCCCCTTCACCGTCGCCGACGCCTTCTTCGCGCGCTTCAGAGTCACGGTCTTCTCCTTCACCATTGTGTGGAGCTTGAGAGGGCCGAGGAGAGGTGTGGGGAGCAGGGAGAAAGGAGGTGGAGAAGAAGAGAGGTGGGAGATTGATTGAGGGCACTGTGTCGCACATCGGTTTCGACGCCTTATATGAGGCTGGTTTCGAGTGACTGACTAGTGGCCCCCAGCAATAAAATCATATCCCATCACTGGCGCAAGAGAGATACGTGGCAAAAAAGGCGGCACGGAAATTGAGGCTTCCCGGTCCGATTCATTCCGCTTAACTCGCCACGCCCCGTCCGGCGCGCTTCTTTGAAATTTTGAATCCCGTGTAATCCGGGAACCACAGAACAGCCAATCACGTCTAAGATTTCATGCCCAAATCCACTCGAACGATTACTACATTTATTCACTCGACAGCTTCAAGCGATCAGAATCAATCGAACCAACCGAAGCAAGATTGAAAGTTCCCTGTGTATTTTCCAGACTTCAACGAGAGGCCCCCGGAGCATTCGACTGAGTCGGAGTCAACTTCATCCTTTTCTCCACTCGGACCTCAATCCATTCGGGGGCTAATGACGAGGACATGTACCTAGAGTAGGGTCCTAGGCCTGACCTAGACACCCTACCCAAGGACACTGACCTACAATCAAAGGCACTCAAGGACCAAGAGAGAATACCGATTGAAATCATCCTGAAGTGCAATCCACTTGACAGAAGGTTCCACTCGGATACCCCAATTTCACTCGACTACAACATAGTCACTCGACCGTATGAAGAACCACTCGGTGTATAGAAGATCTAAATTCATCCTAGGATAGCAACGGACAGGCATTCACCCTGTAGTCTTAATGGTCATTTATGGCAGGCGTTACCGGTAACGTCCCATCTTAACTTACATTGAACCCTGTGTAAGGAATGTCAGAGAGGATCCTGACACACTCTATATAAGCCACCCTCCTCCTCTGGCACAAGGGTTCACACCCCCTGTAACATTCACACATATCCAGTCGACACAGCCTCAAGGCAACGAGACGTAGGGCTTTTACTTCCTCCGAGAAGGGCCTGAACTCGTAAACTTGCGTGTACAACCTCACCGTAGCTAGGACCTTGCCACCTCATACGTACCCCCTATTCTTACTGTCAAACTTACTCCCACGACCGGTAATGTATTTAGTTTTTGGGCAATAAAATATTTTCCCATGTCCCTATTATTAATTGAGTATTTTTGAACTTACATAAAATATTCCAAAATTCAAAGTCAAAACAGAAAATCAAAAAACCAGACCTAACCTATCCAGGCTAGCTAACCCCGAGAATCCCACATGTGAAGGGTCCAGCAGGTCCCGGCCCAGCCCTACTCCGCAACTCCTTCCTGCTCTCTTCAATTGATGGGAGAAACCTACCCAAGAGGGTTACCCCGAACACCCCGACGCGCACCACATGCCACAGCTCCACAATTGCCAGCCACAATGCCCACGCCCCTAGATCAAGCCCGTCGATCCCATCCTTAAACCCCTTGTTATCCCTCTCTCATTTCGGAGCGCACAACTGCCATGCCGAAGCTCAAAATCCCCGCCATCGTAGCTTCGCTCCGGTGAACAATTTCGGCAACACTGAAGGTTCATTGCCCCTCTTTTTCCCTATGTCGTGTTCTTCAATACTATGACATATACACCGTCGCATTTCGACGAAGATTGTCATGACGTATGCATATGTTAAGAAAATATTGTTAATGCGATATCACTTCAATAAATATGTGTTAGATTGTCTTAATATTGATTTAATTAAATATCCAACAAATAGGAAGCCAATTCTAATAAGATCCAAAGATTACCAGTGGCACGGACCTTCACTATCCACGACGCTAAAAATAAAATTTGTCGCATTGATGCAGGAAGCCATGCCACCGATTTATATGTATGTATTGCAATTTATATATTTATTTATAAGGATAAAGCAAAAAATACCCTAAAATCTAGAATTTGTAGATGCTACTTAAAATGATGCAAATTCAGTGTATGTAAAACTATAAATTGAAACGAGAAAAAAAAATCTATCATCAATCTCTAAACCCCTCACACTTTCATTCGGAAATTTAGCACTATTACCCGGGATAACAATTGGTTTCTGAGAAATTGACATAAATTTTTTTGTATAAGACTACCCATAATGGGAGTAACATAGGTGGTAATATCACACATATCTAGGCAAAATAGATGATGTGGCAAGTAATTAATGAGAAAGGAGAGACATGTGGTAACATAAGAGCAAGTACAATAATGGGCTTAGCCCGCTTACAAGGCACTTTTGTTTATGTGAAGAGAGAGAGAGATGAAAAAATGATGGGAGTGGCTCTCATGCAAAATCCTAGTTATATACATATTCCTAAGCAAATACAATAAATATGAAGAAAGAGATAGAGAAGACGAGAAAAAGTAGTGGACGAGGCGAATTGTTGCCCGAGCACTGCTGATCCCAATATCATCGCCTTCAATTCTGGGCTCGGGATCCAGGAATATCGGTCTGACGCGCCTGTCGGTACTTTAGAAATTGGGGGATGACACCGAATACAGGATGGAACAGTGCGTTGTATGTGGGTCCGAAAGATGTGAAGCGTTGGCGGAGGCGTGCGTGCGCTTGCTTGCATGTTTTTCTTTTGTTCACTCATGTTTATGATGCTTTGTTGTGTGAAAAACCCCGGTTACTGGTTTTTGTTTTAAATATTTTGAAGAAAACAGTGAAATAAAATAATGTTCGTGAATTTAAAAAATATTCATTACTTCAAAAAATATTCACGAATTTGAAAAATTGTTTGTGAGTTAAAAAAAATATTCTTGAATTCAGAAACTGTTCACTAATTTTAAAAACGATGATAAATACAAAACATTTTCACAAATTCAAAAAACTTCCACAAATTTTAAAAGTGGTCATGAAAATGTTTGTGAATGTAGATAACTTCATGAATTTAAAAAATGCTCGGTAAGCTTTAAAATGTTTATAAATTTTGAAAAATGCTCATTGGTAAAAGCATCAAATTAAAAAGAAAAAAGATAACAGGAAAAATGAAAAAGATAGAAAGCAGAGAAAACAAGAGCTAAGAAGAATGGAAATAAGAAGAAGAAAAAAGCAAAAACCGGTAAAATAATACGGAAAGAACAAAAAAGCCCGGATAACTAGGGGATCTACTGTTGTACGCTTAAAACCAACAATGTCAAGACTGATTGCTGGTGTGAGGTGTTCCGTATCTCCTAATTAAGCTCTTTTTTTCTCAGGTACGGTTGTATTCTGAACTCATTGCGTACAAAGCTGAACGTTTTGATGGCCTACAGGCTTGATGCAGGAAAAGAAGGAAGGCACTGATGATGTACTGTACTGATCAAGGCATCGCCGACTGATATGCTCCATTGACAAGCAAGGCATCGATGACATGCTTGGACGTCGGAGCTTTTTGGCTGTCTTGTGCTCCCATGATTCTGCCTTGCAACAAAGACAATATGCCTAGCTAGCTTCCCTTTCTCTTGCATACTAAGCGAATATCACCTGTGATACAACTCACTATCTAGACTGTAATTCGGCCTACGTGCTGATAACACCTACGTACAAGAAACGATTTGCCAATTGATATCACACTGCATCGATCTGGAAGAGTGTATGCCCAACCTTCAATTCGCGTTGTAATACTAATGTCCGGCTGAAAATTCATAGTACTTGTTTTTATTGGGGTGCATATCTTCTTTTTTTAATACATCGTTTTTGGGATGCATATATCAGTAATAAAAATACTTACCGATTTGTCGAATTCAAATTTTTGGGACAAATCTCAGACCAGATCTTAATTTGCTCTAAGCATCTTAATTGTTTTTAAGAAGAAATATGCATGATACACGCGCAAAAGTTGCTTGAATAATTAGAAAAGACCGGCTCCGGATCAACTGGGTAAAATAAAACTTTTGCCAGCCTATTCAGCTGCTGAGCTCTTTTGCTTTACCTTTATGTTAACGTGGATATATACTTTGCTTGAGTAGCGGGCTTTGGTCTTTATTGAGTACCAGTAGTAGTAAGTACAGGGTGTATCCGTGTATATAACTTCTCGCGTTATCATCCAGCAGGTGAGGGGCCCTAATTTTTCTCCCCAAAGGGAACTCTCTTGTGTCGCCCCACCTCAATTCCGCTGGTCATCTGCTAGCGGCAGGCTGGTGGATCATCGCTCGCCTGCCATTGGCCCGTCCTTGTGCGGCAACTACAGGTGCGGTCGACGTAAGTTCTACGTACTTGTCACATTTTACCTCTAATTCTGCCCGCATGCATAATGAGTGCACTTAGGGCCTGTTCGGTTCCTCTCCGCTCCCTGGACTGCGCTCCCGGAGCGGAGGAAACTGCAGCTTATTTACACGGAGCAGCTCAAACCGAGCTCCTGGAGCTCCGCGGAGTGGAGCGGACAGGAGAGATTCCGAACAGGCCGTTAGTATAACATGTGTTCTACTTATTCACGTATAACCCTACACGTACAGCCACACGGTCGGTGTAGGTGCATATATACATGGTGCAACCGTGCAAGTACATCATATATACTTTTTGGTCCCATAAAATTAGTAGATACTCCAGACTTTGTTTTTGAAACATTGAATATACAAGCCTGAAACATTGAATTACGAGTACTTAATCGTCTTGATTGTCGTTGTTGTTGTTGTATGCATTCCAGTGGAATATAGGCAACTAATGGCCGGAGGAGTAGAGGTGTTGGTGGTCTTTTGGAAAGAATGGGGGATCCAAGCGCTGGTGCTGCTAAGCTTTGCACTGCAGGTCATTCTCCTCGTCACAGCAGAGATCCGTCATCGCAAAGATTCTGCCGTTCTCAGAGTCATTGTTTGGTCAGTGTACCTATTGGCCGACACGACGGCGATATATTCTCTTGGACACATGTCCGTGAATAGTAGCAAGTGGTTGGCCGAGCACCGGCTGGTGGCGTTCTGGGCGCCGTTCCTGCTACTGCACCTTGGCGGCCAGGACAACATAACGGCCTACTCCGTCGAGGACAACCGGCTATGGTTGCGGCACCTGCAGACTTTGGTGGTGCAGGTGCTGGCAGCTGGTTATGTCCTCTACGAGTCGTCTATTGTGGCTCAACAGACCTTGTTGCGTCCGGCTGCAATCCTTATGTTTGTGGTTGGTTTTATCAAGTATGGGGAGAGGGTATGGGCGCTCAACTGCGCTAGTAGTAGTAACCTATCGGGGAAGAATTACCAGAGTTTTGGCATGGTGCATATCGGAAGTTCCGTAATGTCATTTGGATTGAACGATCCAGGAGCCCAACTGCACATGGCTCACCAGCTATTAAGTTTCCCTATGCATTTGTTGAAGGGTCCGTTGCCTCTTGTAGCAGCTGAAACGGGTTTCTTGCATTGTAGTGAATGGAAGAGTATGTATCAATTGGTGGAGGTGCAGCTCTCCCTCATGTACGATGTCTTCTATAGCAAGGCCCCGGTGATCCACACTTGGTATGGGCGCTGCATCCGTATCATATCGCCCATGGCCACGGTGGCCGCATTCATGTTGTTCCATCAATTCAGTCAGAATGAAGGGGAGCACTACAACAGAGTAGGTGTCGCCGCCACCTATGTTTTGCTGGTTGGGGCCATTGTCCTGGAGAGCACATCATTGATGGGAGCCATGTTCTCCAGCTGAGCAGAAGCGGGCGTGGCCCCACTGGATCCTTGTGGAGATGACGGTGTTATAGTTTCTTACACATGTCTCTTTAGGTGTTTGATTTGGTATGTGGTTGCCCTTTTCCGCTCTCTCGTTTTATGGGCAATGCGGAAGGTAGGATTATCGATAAGGCCTTGGTCGGGCTCAATGGGGCAACACAACTTTATCCGCCTGTGCACCCAGAGCAGGAACAACCGGAGCAGCAAAATCGCGAAATGGATGGGACGTGAGGACTGGTGGAATACGCTGGTTTACACATCGTCCATCCCAGTCCCTCCAAATTTCAGTGAGTTGCTTATGGAACGACTGTTGGGAGGAGTGAAGGTTGACGAAGAGAACCCAGATCACATCATCAACTCACGAGGCCGGGCGGCACTCAAGAGGAAGGGAATATCACAAGAAGAACTGGCCTGCTGGAGCGTGGGCGTCCAACTAGACGAGAGCATCCTCGTGTGGCATATCGCCACTCATGTGTACCTCAGTTGGTACGATATCACATACTCACCACGGCCGGCTCTTGCTACCACGATAGAGGCGCTCTCCAACTACATGATTTTTCTGCTTGCCGCACGTCCCTACATGCTGCCCGACAATGCTAGTCGCCAGAGGTATGTAGAATTGTGCAACAAGGTGATCAATAATCTCGAATACAACTCGGCCGAGGATCTGGTCGGGTTAATACGGGAGCGTGGGCAAGCACTCAACACTAATGGCCCTCCGCCTCCTGCTGAGACGCCTGTGATATTGGTAAATAATTTAACATATGACAAAGCATGTCAGCTTGGCGAAAAGCTGATCAGCAAGGCGTTAGACACACCTGCTGCAGGTGCTGAAATGTTGGACCTCATTGCCCAAGTGTGGGTGGAGATGTTGTGCTACACGAGCTACCGTTGCAGACCAGATTCCCATGCTAGATGGCTCAGCAACGGCGGAGAGATAACGACAGTTGTTGCTATTCTGATGGAATACATGAGACTGGATTTTTTCAAGCTCATGGGATACACAGGAATATTCTAACATCCATGGTGTATGCTAGTCCAAGATCTGAAACTCCTGCAGCATTTTCCTTCAACAGTGTTTTATTTCGTAAATCATATTGGACATCTATGTATTATGAATTTGTTCAATCTCAAAGTCTCCGCCGCACAACTATATTTGTATTTCCTTTTTTTTCCTAGATGGATAGGATCTGAAGGTTCATCGCCCCTCTTTTTCCCTCTGTCACGTTCTTCGATATTATCACATAGTAAGCGTGCACGTGCGTTGCACGTATAAAACTGAAGTCGGTCACATATATAATTATGCCACATGCAAGACATACAAATGATCTTCAGAAGTGCATCTAGCCTCTAGGTATCAGTCACATATAGTACAGTACCACTTAATTAAGTCATACTTTTGCATAAGTGTATTTCAAATAAGAAGTCACATACAGTACAATAGCAATGAAGTCATACTTTTGCATAAGTACATCATTAAAAAAAAAGAACTGAAAATGTTCAATGTAAACTTAACAGAATTCAATGTAAACTTTAGCAAGTGAGAAAATGGCATAGATTCATCTAAGAATCTACTAAATGCACACAGAAAAGGGGATAATCTGAAACTAACCATAAAAAATTGCATGCAACCTGTACTGACAAAATTACGATTTAACGTAGAATGCTTCATCTAAGGAAAACATATCGATGCTCATGGTCGCCTTCAGCAAATTCAGCTATCACTGAAGAGCTGCATAATAGGTAAATGTCCAGTAATGAAATTTCATATCGACAAGGACATGACTAAGAATGGATTGGCACAAGAACTTCAATTGAACTTGTAAGAAGCATGGGCTTGCATCAACCATCATGTGAATGATACACATGTTTTTTGTAGTTTGAGATGGAACCCAACTGGAGCAGTAAATAGATACCAAACTGTAGCCTAGCAATACACAGAAGAGGTGGCACTGATCATGTGAATTGAAAAAAAAAGAAGAATACAACCAGTAAAGGCTCTTAAGATATACAATGACCACCTACACTCATCTTGATTTTATAGATACGCAACCGACATAAGAGTGAAGAATACAACTAGTAAAGGCTCTTAGGATATACAACGACCACCTACACTCATCTTGATTTTACAGATACGTAATCGACATAAGGGTGAAGAATACAACCAGTAAAGGCCCTTCAGATGTACAATGACCACCTACACTGATCTTGGTTTTACAGATGCATAACTGACAGAAGAGTAAATTTTTCTAGTTTGAGTAATCACAACTCATCTTTTTTTCTTTTCCGTTATTCCCACTTGAGGTGGTATTATCATTCTCATGCTTCATGGCAAAATGACCCATTGTTCTTCCCAGCTATGTTTTAATTTATAATGTAAAGGTAAAGATAAACAGCCCGTGTTTCTGCAAGTCTATAAGCATGTAAATATAGAGAGGAGAGGCATTCCAAGGGGTTGTTATGGGTCTGCGAAACACAATCTATCGATCATATAATGGATGGAAAATAGCCAAATCAATCTGTAGAAGAGTTTAGAGGTAAGAAAAATTGCGGAGAAAGCAAATAAATATCTCACTGGAATTTAGGCACACACTACAAAGTGGCTAACATGGACTCTAACTAAACTGATGAATTGAATTACACACTCGACTATCTCCAGAGAACCCGAGAGCATCAGATTACTTTGCAAACAGCCTACAATATCGGAGAAGCAATTTACTCTTTTGTTCCTGTAGATTCTCCTGACAAACAATGTCCCCCGTGTCGGTGCTAAATCCCACAAATCTCGAGGTAGGGGTCCTAAACTAGGCGTCTTGGAATGATGGAAACAATGGACAAAAGATTTTACCCAGGTTCAGACTCTCTTGAAGAGGTAATCCCTACGTCATGCTTTCCATTGTATTGATATGAGGAATAGTACAGAGTACAGGTATCTACCATGAGATTTTTCTAATGAATATGAGATGTCATCTATTGACTAGTCTGGCCTCGGTTTATATAATGTACCGGAGGGTTAGGATAACAGTAGTCCTCGTCTTGTGTGCCAAGTCTTGTGGACTCTTCCTTGTATATGTCATGGGCTGCTCAAAGTGGCCCATCAATGAGCCGCCATGGGGGTCCTCGGCCCGACCCACCTGGTTGGGAGACGAAGTGGTGAGTACCCCCTACTCCAGGACACCAAAAGTAGCCCCTTGAACCGGTCTTCAAATTGAGTACGCTCCTCGGTTTTTTCGAACTATTCTTCGTCTACGATCGTTGGTCTTAAAGCTGTTTCAACTAATCTTCACATCTCCGATCTTGAGGATCACCGAGGTGTATCCGAAGAGTTCACATGTGGGTATCCGAGGAGCCCCTTTAAGTTTCCGGTTTTTATAAACGCCTTATTATTTTTACGTTACGCCACACCTCAGGTTCGAAGTCTTTCCTGTGCGGCGGTGTCCTCTTGCATCTGAGCTCCAACGTCATACTATATCCGAGATGTCTCTGCAACCAATCTCCAACTCTAGTCTATCTCCGAGGAATCATAGATTACCTCGGTCTTGAAAAAAGTTGAAGGAGTTCAACCGAGCTTAATGCTGAAAAAGTCCTCTCGCGAGCTAGCCACTTGTATCTGAGCTTTATGCCGTACTGCTTCCAAGGTGGTGCACCACCTCGGTCTTGGGCTGATTTTTTGTGGAATTTATTTTTTATCAGGGAAATTTGTTTACCGTCGAGATGTATAGCCAATAGCCCTCAAGGTCCGTTCGGCCTAAAATCCGGGATGCACCTAAAGGATAAAACAAAATTGCTAATCCCAATAGCCCCAGAGACTCTGGTCGATTCGTGAAATTGGCCTAAGAATCAAGTCCTTGCTCGACAATATACTTTAGGAATAGAAACCCGGTATGCAGTAGCCCCCAAGACTCGGGTTGGGTGCACCAACTAACCTGAGGATCGTAATCTCCTTGAAAACCGTATTGCACTTTTAAATTTACTGCATTGAAACGTCAATGCAGTCCCCCCGAGACGGGTTGGGCCACATCCCGATCCTAGGATTGTATCTACTCGGGAACTAGTTTAAGCATCATGTGGGTTTTACTAATGCCGAGGTGCAGCTCGACAGGGAAGATGCTGAACTCGGGGTTGGAAATGATTTCCCGAGCAGAACCATCTTGCAGGACACCTCAAGTAAAAGGATGTCCTGCCTCCTGAAAAATAAACATAATATTGGGGTAAAAGTGTCATAAGCTCGAAAAAGCCAAAAACGTATGTAAAAACTGTACGTCTAACTTGAATAAAGTTTTGTGGTGCCAATCCGAAATTGGTCTTAAAATTAATTTGCACTCCCATCATGATTTAACATGATACATCCAAATACACCATTCAAAGCCACATCATCAATTTGCAACCCTTTCCGACTTCATTGGGTATTTTTCATGCATTTACTGATTTTTTTGAGCTAAATGACCCTGAAATTGAAAAGCACTACAAATGAACTCTGAAAAGGTTGAAAGTTGGCATGATATCATCATTTCACCCACATAGCATGTTATAAAAAGTTGAAAGAGTTACAGCAAAAACTTGATGCACTTCGTGTACAAAACGAACAATCTCTTTCGAAGTATAATGGTTTCATACGAAAACTCATCTGTTACAAAAGGGATCAATTGATGATGCGCCTACGAGTAAACACAGAGTGTTGATCAATTGATCTGCATAGCAGGTCATTGCGAGCGGCCCAAGTGTTCCATAGTGTTGAGAGAAG